TTTTTCTCTTCTCTGTGTTTGTGACAAGGCTAAAGTACCTTTTTAATTTCATTATCAAGCTTAAAATTTGCCACATTTCTTTCTCTATTGACTCACATAACACTTTTGACATTGCTGGCTCCAATGATGTGGGAAAGGCATGTAACATGTGAACCTGATTTATAGCCTAGCTCATCATGGAGTCTCTGACTGGCTCATTGATAGAGCATTGGAGTGCTGCATACAGATGTTTGAGATATGATTCCGCAGCATGTGAACTGAGAATATTTTTTTCTGTCTCATGCTCATGACAAGGTAACAAAAAACGTAGGTATTTGTTTAAATAATTATTAGTTTGTGCTTTTTAGATCCAAAAGACTTCTCTTCCTGAGGGACCTCTTCTTGTTACAGACAGTCAGCTTCTGAGACAACAAGGATTGGAATTTGATCACTACGTCCATTACTCAAGGTCTGTGGCAGTGCTGTAAACTTTACTTTTTATGCAGTGACTGATAAAACCATTAGTTTTGGTTCTGGTTGGCATAGCCTGTACATATTTTTAGACAATTTGAATATCTAGAGAAACTGTATATGGTATAAAAACCACTCTCAAGCTCGGCCTGTTTTGGTGACCATTGTGAGAAGAAAAGGATTTTGGTGTCTTCATCTTAACCGTTAAACTGTCAGAACTGATAAACATGTAACTTTTCCCTATAATATCCATATGTATTATCCTGCAAACAGGTGATGAGAAAACTCCAACTTATCAGGTGGAATTTGTTATCGTGATCTCACACTAAATTCTCATAACTAATTTACAAGGAAATGTGTAACAGTAATAAAGAGAACTTGGGAGTTAAAGGGTTAACAAGCTGCACAATTTAATGCATTGACTCCATATTGTCATGAATCCTTTCAATAAAAGATCACAGATGATAGCTAAATGTGGTAAAGACAAAAAATGTGGCTCATGAGGTGCAGAGTGTGTCACTGATGTTCTGGCCACATTGTGACATCTTCAGTGATCGATTACTTTACAGACCCATAACAACATGGAATCTATTTGTTTCATATGATTAAAAAAAGCAAAATGTTTTTAATGGTGATATCATCTATAGATGCATCTTTCCTCAAAAAGGTCATAAATAAGAACCATTTAAAATGTGTGTAATTGAGCTGGTGATGTAGAGAAAGAAAATTTAAAATGGTGATAGGACTGAGTAGAGTCCATTTTAGTCTGTAATCATATGAGTGATATACATTTAATTGGATGACCAGGAGTCTGATTTGTTAATCACAAATATGATTGCAGACAGAATTGGAAGACACAAAGTCCTGTTACCAATTGATCAAAACTATGACAATATTTGAGAAAGAAACTAAACATTAGTTATAGGTTTTCATGAAGAAAAAGGAAACAACAGTTAACTCAGGGAAATGCAAGACAACAGTGCGCACACATGACACATTCTGTCCATTTGAGTTGAACTCGTGGTAACCAAGAACAAATCCAGTGAGTGGCAGGGCAGAGTACTTGAACCCAGGACCACCAAATTACGAGTCCAGCACCCTAAACCCTCAGCCACACTGCCTCCTTTTGAAGTGCAGTGTTGTCAGAGACAGCAAACACATTCAATCATGTTGGAAAGTGATGAAAACGAAAAAATTATTTTTCAAATGATGTTTTCCTCTGCACCTCTGTTTTGCCAGCTTAAAGTCCCTAATATCTAAATAAAAGTAGTTTTTATTTTATCTTTGATATTAAACAGGGAGTTGTTTGAATGTCCTCCAGTCCTCTCAGTTCCAGGAAGTGATGGATCAACTGGCAAACAGCATAGTGAACTGCAGGTGAGTATAGTTTATTGTTTACAAAATCAATACAATTAATTTTGAAAAAGGTTGCCTACAGAGTAGAATTCAAACCACAGGTTGTTGAGGAAGTACAAAAAGCTGTAACTGTAATTATTGATGGTATTTTTATTTATTTATATATTTGCTTTCTAGATCTTTGAGGAAATGCCAGGGACATTTCCTGGGAAAGCACTCTTCTTGCCTTGTCAGGTAAGATGCTTGTGGTCTTTAAACTCAGTACTTACAAAATTTTTTTATATCTAGAAAAAAAATCCATATTGAAACATAAGAATAAACTATGTTACTGGATAACAAAACTTCAAGAGGGATAATTGTCACCTTTCAGCCCATTTTCTCTTGTCTCAAATGTGCTGTTTCACTAAACCCTGTAAACTCTGAGAGTGACTAACATATACATTTAATTTTTCTTCACAATATTACCCCAAAATCAAACATTACTGTCACAAAAATACATGTATGATTTCAAACTTAGGAAGCTCCTGGTTGTCAAATTCTCCTTGTCAGTACCAAAGGGAATTTCTGAAGATGGGTATGGAGAATTTACATACTGATGTTAGGGTGTAAGGGGTTGAAAGGAAAGTGAGTGCTTGCCTTATCCAAGGGTCCTTACTGTCCAGCCAGCACCCCCTCCTTCCTCCACTCCCCCTCTAGATAAAACTGCACCCATATTGATGGGAAAAATAGTGCATTTCATCTGAAGTTTTATGTAATTATTTAGGTTATGGTAGCTCATTACTTTTAATCTTCTTTTTTTAATCATTTTTTCAGGATGGCAATGAAGACCTGTATGAGAAAAATGGGCGTTCTTCATTATTTAGTGCACTTGTTCACAGCCACACTGATGACCTGCATGTGAAGCTGGATTTACCTGACATTCCTAGCAGTTCCAGGTAAACTGACAAATTATTGTGAACTCCCAAGAACACAGGATGAAGGTATGAAGGTATGGGGGAGGAAGGGGGAAGGGAAGGGGGTTTGAGGATGGGGCATGGTGGGGTGAGGGTGGGGGGCATTCTTACTACTACCCTTTATCGGGTCCATTCTAAAATGATATCTATGACTGAGAGATTTTGAATTTGTTTTTGTACAGGACTCTTCATTCCTTAGCCCTGGAACAGAGAGAGGTTAGTTTATTGCTTAAAAAGTTGCAATATTACCAACCATATAATTTCTATAGAATTTTAAGCAGATCCAAAACTTGTATCCATTGTAATTCACTAGTTGTCAATATTCAACCAAATCAACCCTATTGCAGTCTGAAATTAACTTTGAGTATTGGTTACTAATTGCCAAGTGGAAAAATTTGGTGACAAGAGGGTTTGATGTATTAGCGAGTTTTGATTTGTATGATTTTTACTTCATAGCCAAGTACAAAAATGATAGGTATAATGTAGTTTCTTTGACAAAAATTTATTCTGGGGGTCAAGTAGTCCTACCTCATTTTCCTTTTTAAACTTAACCTACTTACACTGGAGGATGAAAACCTCAGCAAGACAAACTTAGGTACATGTAGGATGAGAATCCTCCTTGAAACCAAGCCTGAATTTTTTCTATAATAAACTCTTTGAGCTCTGGGTGAGAGAATTGGAAAGAGACCGAGTAAGTCACCTGCAAAAGTGGCAAAGCCCAACATGCTTTTTACCAACAATATATTTTCAATCACAAAGGCAATCAGGTAGTTGTAATTCTGGATCCTGACTATCTGTCACCTTAAAGGTGATGTATCCTTGTAAAAAAAAAAAAAAAAAAATCTAAATACCTCTTATAACCCAAATTCATGGGCCATACTGTAAGTTATAGACCAAGTTTTTTCTGTTCTGATTTATGGCTCAAGGGTGAATCATGCAGGCCATAAATCGTAACTGAAAAAAGCAAGTTTCTGTAACTTTAGGTATGGACTCAGGAAACAAGGTTAGTAGGATATTTATTATCTCTTTGGATTCAAATAGAAAGGGAAATACAGACCGAGAGATATAACAATGACAATTTTATTTCCTCTATTTAGAGTGCAGATGATGAAGGGTTTGAGTCTTTAGAGACAAGCTCTGAATCTTCTCACACCTCAGAGCAATCCGCTCAAGAAAATACTGATGTCTGGTCTGCAGCTTTAACATTGCCACCGCAAAAGTTTTATACCTGGGAAATGGAAGGAAAGTAAGTTTTTCCTCAGTCTTCTCTCTATTATAACCTCTTATGCCTGACTGTGAAGTTCAATATTCATTCTGCAAATGCATGTGAACCATTTACGCCATAAAATCAGTATGTGTATTCTCCAAACTGTTCTTTAAACATTTCCTAAGATGCTGACATGGAGAATTTGTGGAACAATCAAGAGCTACTGTAGTGGGTGATCAGTTTCTTTATTCTCCTGACCTTAATTTGTTATTCAGGGGTGATATGGTAAGGAGAAATTAGATACCAGTCACTCTTAGGGGTTCAAGGGTTAACCCTTTAACTCCCAGAAGCGATAGACATGCACACTGTGACTCAAACTTACTCAAACTTTGGTATACAATTTGTGTGATTTATATGGAAATATGCAGCAGCTAGAGAAGAGAATTAACAGTCAGATCTTGGGAGAGAAAGGGTTGAATGCATGCTAGCAGCAATCATTCTTAAAGTTCCTCTTTTCATAATGCTTTTGTTTTCCATTTGACTCTAAACCTGGCTAATTGTGGGAACACTTATCTGTATGCTGGGGTACAGAGCTGTTGTATCTCTAGAGGTCAAGAGGTTAGAAATTCAAACAGTGGCAGAATTATTGCGTTCCATTCTTGGGTGGGGTGCTCCTTGAGTGTGACTGGCTTCTAATTTCACCTAACAGTATCAACCTTGAATCAAATGTGAATGTCATGAGAATCATGGAAATGATCACCAATTTAAGAAGCTTATGATTGTCCAACAAATAACCTTATCATTGCCACAGGAAAAGCAAAGAGATGAAGAAGGAAAATAGGAAAACTACTGTTAGGCTGTATAAAAGCGTATCAGTTATCCTATCCACTCCTCAGAGTGACTAATGAGTAAATTCTCCTTACAGTAACAATTCATAGTTAGCCAAAAAAGGTGATGAGAAGAAAAGAAATGATCATAGAGGGGATATCGATTGATTTAACCCTTTACACCCCAACATCAGTATGCATATTCTCCATACTGTTCTCTATACATTTCCTAATGTGCTGGCAAGGAGAATTTGATTAACAATCATGATGTTAACCTTTCTTCTCATGACCTTAATGTTTGATTCATGGGTGATGTTGAAATGAGAAATTAGATGCTGGTCACTCTCAGGGATTAAATGGTAAATGAAAAATTCTTAGAGCTCCAATTATAAGAAATGTAAAGAAGACAGATGAAAATTACTATTGAGATCTTGGGACTGAAAGGGCTAATTCTACAGAGATCTGGAAGAGATGCAAGTAGTGTTAGAATTTAATTTTTTTTTCTCATTTTGTTTTTCAGACGAGAACTTTTAAATGAAAAACCTTACCTTACAGAAGCTGGTGCTTCTGTGTTTGATGCACTGTATGATACAGTTATTCGTCAAGTCTCCTACATTGTGAAGTCTCCAACTTTAAGCCCCAATATGGTTCCCTTACAAGCCATGATCAAGGATTCCATTAATGTACTTATTGGAGTTCCTTCTAGAACATTTCATCTTGATAAGGTACAATATTTGACTAGTAAAATAAAACTGCTGTAATTAATTTTAGTGATTGTGGTGTGGATGTCGTGGTTTATTACTCACAACCTGTATGAAAGTAAGTGAGGATTATTTTAGGAAAGATGATTCAGCTTTTTGTGTTCAGATATGTTGAAATTATTATAGTTAGAGTTATTTCTTTGATGTCTAAAAATTCCTTGAACACAAGGAAATCCAGGTCTCTCTCACTTTACCGGCCTTTGCAAAGCCGGATCGCCAGTAAATGACAAACTAGATTATATTTGGCGAAATTTTTCAAGATGCCTAAACTCAGATGCAACTATGTGAAACAAAGAATGCCTGTAAATGACAAACTGGATGATTTTTGGCTAAATTTTTCAAGATGCCTAAACTCAGATGCAACTATGTGAAACGCAAAAAATGTTGTAATTTGTTTATTTCTTGTTTGACAGGCTATACAGTCCTTTATTGTCAGTGATCAGGTCCGTCTTTCTGGGAGCTCACCTGAGATGCTGCGCAACATCTTAGCACGGCTGGCAGCGATAGGAACAGATTACATCCAGCTTAATAAGTTTGCAACACATCACCGTGGCCACTCAGCCGGTTTGGTTTTGCAGGCTTTCCTTGGAGCTCTTCAAAATTATTTACAATGCTACAGAGCAACAGTGTTGTCTGTAGAAGGTTTGTATGGAATTGCTATGCCTTAAATTATCAATTACTAACTACAGTTGAACTTGTATTAAGCGGTCAACTATGGAGAATGACAGAGTGATTATTTACATGTATTACAGGTTGACCGCTAAATACGATCCAACAGATTAGGAGTATTACTGAAAACGTTAAACGACGCAAATTTGTGTCATAATTGACGCTAAATGTACAGAATCTTGACCGAAAATACTACTTACTTTGATTCTGGGAGAAAAACATGGATTAAAAATTATGTGAAAGATTATTCTTTGTATTGCTTGAGTGGTCCTGCTTTCAGTGACCGCTCAATACAGGTGGGGAACAATGAAACTTAAAAAAGGGTGACCATTACTGCATAATAAAGGTGACCACTTAATAGAGGTGAAAATTACAGTGTGTGAGTGGAAACAAATTCATGAATTCGACAACTAACGGCTTAATACTTAGTGACGGCTTAATACATTGCTACTTAATACAGGTCTGACTGTATTTATTAATATGGGTATGAACCAAAAAAAATTAACTGACTGGGTATGAATAGTCATAACTGGGTGCAAATGGACTGAGTAAGAAACATCTGTGGGTACAAAGTGACTGGTAAGCAAGAGAGGCTCCTGCCCCTTTTTTTCAACCTAACAAGGTGAAGATGTTTTTCTGTCTTTGTCATGGTGCGACAGTTTTACTTACTCAACAGCATAGAAACGTTTTGGAAAAATACCAAACAGTGAACCAAGAACACTTTCAAAATGAGATTATCAGTGAGCTGCTTCTGTAAATAGACTTCCTACCTCTGAATGATTTAACGGTCAAGATGGTTTTTAGGAATTATGTTTTTAATTTATTTTACAGTTTCCTCCGTGCAAAGTCCCATGATGCTGTCATTTGCATTTGAAAATCTAGGAAGGCAGCTAAGGTAAATAAACTTAAGGTAGAAAAAGATAACAAAAATGAAATATTTAATTGCTGAAAATGGCTCAGATAGATCTTATGGAGAACTTTGGAACCAGGAAAATAAATTTCGTACATCGTGAGACAAACGAAAAACTTAGCTTTT